ATATACACACACTATATATATAGTATATATATATATAGTACTTTAGGTTCTGGGGTACATGTTGTGCAGATCATGCAGGATTGTTACACAGGTACATTCAGGGCAATGTGGTTTGCTGCCTCCATCCCCCCATCACCTATATCTGGCATTTCTCCTCATGTTATCCCTCTGCAACGTCCCTTAATGTCTGTCTCCAGCTTAAGGCCACTGGTAGTAGTTGAAGCTATGGTGACTGTCAGATCAACCAAGGAGAAAGGGTACTCACTGCAGAGTGAGAAAATGTTGTTTGGTTAAGACTGGTAATTGTGGACTCCAATATCTATTCTCCCTCTTTTCCTTATTAGCGGAATCCCAATTTTAGTTAGGATAGTCCTGTACCTAAGCTAAAAGTCGACTTGCCTCACCCTTTCCTGCAACTAAACTTATCTATGTGACGAAGTTGTGGCCAATATAAGCAGAAGTGCTGTTTAGAACACCCAAGAAAGTTCGGTAAAAGAAGAAAGTACTCCTTTGCCCTTTTGTCTTTCCTCTTTCTTCCAAATTGCCACAGGACATGATATTTGGATTATAAGGCGAACCAGAGGATATAAGTCTTTTATTAACATGATGGCTTCCTGAAGACTGCACAGACATATTCCCGGAGGCTTTTCTGTGAGCGAGAAATGAATTTCAGTCTTGTTGAAGCCGGATGTGCCAAACCTAATCCCAAATGATAAAGATGAGTACCAATATAATTGCAATGAGAAACCCCTACATTTAAGAAGTGGTCTGAGAAGAAATTACCAGTTAACACTGAAAAGGGTGAGACAGGAAGAAATGGCACAGAAACCAAGACAAAAGGACAGCTCCAAGAGGCAGGATAAGGGCAAAGTAAGTAGCAGATGTTTAAAAGAGATCAGGTAGAAAGAGGCTTGAATGCAGCACATTTAATTTAGAATTGCAAAATTGTATTGACTTAAGGTGATCAATTTCAAGAGCGTGGTAATTGCATGAAAACCAAGTTGAAATGGGCTTTTGAGTGAATGAGATTCAGGGAGCTAAATTAATATTTTATTTCAGGAAAAATGAAATAGAAGGCTAAAGATAAGGTGAAATAGAAGGCTAAAGATATGGTGAAATGGAAAATAAATATTTCATATATTTTCTCACAACCAAACTGTATCTCCAGTTCTCATGATCCTGCTAATACTGGCTACCACTTCTTAAATTAAAAGAGGCTTATCTAATCCTTCGATAAACTCAAAATCTTCTAAATAATTAGAAGTGACTGGCCCTTCCCATTCACGATCACTTTCATTTCAGGACCCAGTTCTGTTCCTACATAGTGTGCTATTCTGGAAAACAAAATATTTTCTAGTCTCAACTCAAATTCTGTCGAGGCATATGTGTGAGTGTAAGTGTGGGGACAGAGATAGCATAAAGTTCTGACAGCTGAAAGAAACAAAGCTTCATTTAATTCTGAAGAAGTTCTTTTCCAAGTATGTAACTATTTGAAGGTATAGCATTTAGTTTGTATCAGAGATTTACAATTCCCCATAAGGAAATGCAAGAACTCCGGGGTTCATATGTGATGCATATTTCCTTTTTGATCCCCAGGCTCTGGCCCCTAGCTGTAGCCTCCATTTTCCTCCTCCCTCCTTTCTCCCCTCCTTCTTTTCCTCTCTTCTTCCTTGAGAAATAATGCAGTTATGTCAGAATAGAAACTATGCAAGAAAGGGTGATATACTAGATTACTGAGGATATTTTAATACATGTTCAAGAGAAAATGGCAAATATTTCTTAATAGAAAAGGATACAAATTAAAAATCAGAGGTCAAGGCCACCAGGATTAAAGATGAAATTTGGATCAAATATTGACCAATGTAAATATGTTGAATTTCGATTATAGCAGAGATCATGCTTAGTGAGATGCTTTCAAACTAACGACTTACATTGAGTAATAATTAACATTATTCATTAATATAATAATAAACTTACATTGAGTAATAATTAACACAGAATATAGTTTATTGTTGTTAGAAAAATGAAGTAAAATCAATACTTGGGAGATTGTTTAGTAATGTGTGAATTGCGTCTGTTTTTTGAATACTCATAAATATTTTTAAAATTTTAGGTGTGTTTTTCAAAGAAATTGGTTACACCCTGGGAAAAAAATAAGTGTGCATTACAATGTCTTGTGGAAGAATTTAAAGGACAGATTTTCATTTATATTTAGGTAGGAATGTTTCTCCTGCCTTCCTCAATTTGCTCCATAACAAAAGACATGAATACATATCGTAATTACAAATTGTACATTGTAATTACAAGTCATAAATTCTACTACAAAGGTCAGGTATGGTTAGATTCAGTGAGTTTTACCTTAAAACATTGGTTTAAAACCATTCAAATCAAATGGATAAAATAACTTTTTTTTTTTTTTTTTTTTTTTTGAGACGGAGTTTTGCTCTTGTTTCCCAGGCTGGAGTGCAATGGCGCGATCTCGGCTCACCGCAACCTCCGCCTCCTGGGTTCAGGCAATTCTCCTGCCTCAGCCTCCTGAGTAGCTGGGATTACAAGCACGCGCCACCATGACCAGCTAATTTTTTTTTTGTAGTTTTTTAGTAGAGACGGGGTTTCACCATGTTGACCAGGATGGTCTCGATCTCTTGACCTCGTGATCCACCCGCCTCGGCCTCCCAAAGTGCTGGGATTACAGGCATGAGCCACCGCGCCCGGCCCGATAAAATAACTTTTTTACTTTGCAATGGCCTTATGACTTTGGGTGGTATGGGAAGAGAAGTTCTCAAACCAATGCTCTTCAAGGTTGCAGAGAGAAGCTTCTGTCTGACACCTTCCTGATGTACTGAATGTCCCTTGGTATATCCTTATAAACATTTTAAAACCCACACAGCTATTTAAAGATAAAGAAAAACTTATATAACTTTATTTTTCAAAGCACTAATATGTCTCAGGTGCATTTGCCTACAGTACAAAGAATAAGAAAATAGTACCTAGGAATTTTTTAGACTGTAGAGAATCTCAACTGCTTTACCTTTCTTATTTTCTCTCCACTTCTCTAGCAAAGGAGACAGAGTGCTCCCACTCCCACTCCTTCAGCCTATTGGGTCACAAGGGGCCTAATTTTCATGCAAATAGCCCTGAGGGAATAATCTGCCCCTCTTCCCAGACCACTCTGTTCTCAGTCTCATAAGGACTGTTATTCCTTAGGTCATAGAAGACCCCACAGAGGTAGTAGACGCCATTGAGATTGGCTGCTTGGCAGTTGATACCACCAGCCTCCCCCATAGACTTCTGCACAGCTCTCTTCCCACTGGTCTGCATCCCTGTCAAAGGTGCTGAACTGCATGTTGTTGTGAGAGGTGTACTCTGTCCCTTCCTCTACGGAACCCTCAATCAGTGCATCACCCGCAGTGCCTTCATAGAAGGAGACCTGCAGGGCTTTGGCCTCATAGCCTACCCGGAAGTGATATTCTGCATAAGCCTCTTTTCCAGCCCAGTCCTCTGATTCAACCCTAAGAACAGAGCCGCTCTGGGTTAGTAAGTGGAGACAGTCGTTGCCTAGCCAGAATTCTCCTTCCCCCTTGTCATTCAAGATGCCGAAACCTCTCTTGTAGTCTTGCCCAGTCCAGTTAAAATTCAGTGATCCATCCATTCTTTGCTGGATCAAAAGCTATCGTCCCAAACTGGTTTCTTGATTGCAATAAACAGAAAAAATCTTACTGGATCCTGGTAGCTTGCTATTGAAAATGTCACACTGGGCACCCGAAGGATATGTTTAGAGGACATCATCACAGTCTTAAAAAAAATTAAGCTGGTTGGAAGAAGTTATTCTCATTTAACTTTACAAAGATAGGCACGGCTCAGATTAAAGAAGGTAAATACTGTTTCCTTCCCTTCCTTTCTTTCTTTCTTCTTTTCTTCCCTCCACAGGGGAAGAATGCACTTACAGTGAGATGGAACTTATGTAAATGAGGGGTTATTTATACCTACAAATTGCAAAGGGGATTTTCCTCAAATGGATTTGGAATTTTACTTGCACATACTAATAGCAAGTAACCAGTACAGGTAGCTAAGCATCAATTAATACTGACACAACTTGTTTTAGCCTGACCTAAATGTCAACTGAGACACATACTAAAAACATAATTAATCAGTTGGGTGACAATTCTAGCAGCAGACACTTGGAATGATGAAAGAATTTTATTAAATAAGCTCAAATAGAGTTTCAGAGAATTAATTCATTCATTTAACATGTATTTATTGAGTCATGACTTTGTACTGTTAGGCATTTGGGAATACAGAGATGAGACAAAGTCCTTTCCCCCATGGAACTTATACAGTCTAGCACAAAAACAGACCAAAAAAGTGTAGTTTCAATAAAGTGTAACAGAGAGTTAAGAAGGAAATGCAAGGTGCCATGGGAACACTGTGCAGAAATATTTAACATAGTCTAGGGGGACAGGGTAAGGCTTCCCCAAAGGAGAAGTGTGGATACCTCTGGTAAGGCAAGATTTAGCATGGTTTCTCTTAATGGTATGTGTTCCTTCATGATCAGCTTCACTTTAGACCTAATCTGCCATTGCACGGCTCTTGGATTGTACTGTGGAGCCTCCTTTGCTGTATGCCGTGCTACTGACAAACTGTTTGCTGTGACTTGAAGTTTTACTGCTGGAAGGGAATTCACGTACCCCAGCGTGATGAGAACTGGTATCTGTAAAGATGCCAGATTCTGAGTCCATAGACTCACCATCATACTCTCTGAACCTAGATGAGAATAGACTTTCTAATGTTTTTCCAGTTGAGTCAGTGTCAAAGAAGGAAGCTTCATCAGGGTGCCTACGACGGAAATCATCCAGAGTACCCATGCCAGACAACGTGCCTAAATCCATTGCCTCGGGACAGTCAGAACCATCTTCAGAGGTCACCACTTCTTTGGTAACTTCTTTGTGACCATCAGGACCAATAACAGTCTTAGTAACAGTTTTAGAGCATAAATGACGCGTGGTGGTTGTGCTACCAGAGGTGACCTTCTTATTACCAATCATGAGCTCTTTTTCTCCCTTAGAAGTGACCAGTTTATCTGTGTGGTACTCTTTCTTTGTCCCTGGACTTACCTTTCCTGGCACCTCTTCAAATGTGCCCCAGTCTGGGTTGGTAGGCCTGGTGTTCCCATAGCCTGAACTATCTGGCCTAAAACTTCCAGATCCAGAGCTCCAATGTCCAGTACTACCAGTTGCAGAGCTCTCAGAGGTCCAAGTCCCAGTACCTGCACTTCCAGAGCTGCCAGACCAGGTTCCAGTACTACCAGGTCTAGAGCTCTCAGGGTTTTCATTGCCAGTACTTCCAGATCCAGAGCTCCCAGGAGTCCAGGTTCCGGTACTACCAGGTCCAGAGCTCCCAGGTGTCCAGGTTCCGGTACTACCCGATCCAGAGCTCCCAGGTGTCCAGGTTCCGGTACTACCAGGTCCAGAGCTCCCAGGTGTCCAGGTTCCGGTACTACCAGGTCCAGAGCTCCCAGGTGTCCAGGTTCCCGTACTACCAGATCCAGAGCTCCCATGTGTCCAGGTTCCGGTACTACCAGATCCAGAGCTCTCATGTGTCCAGGTTCCGGTACTACCAGATCCAGAGCTCCCATGTGTCCAGGTTCCGGTACTACCAGGTCCAGAGCTCCCAGGGTTTCGGTTTCCAGTACTTCCAGGTCCAGTGCTCCCCGGGTTCCAGCTTCCAGCACCGCTAGGGTTCCTGGGGCTTTCCGTCTCTGATCCTGTTCCATGAGAGGTGGAGTGTCCTCCTGCAATCTCATTTCCACCAGGTCTCTCTAACTCCATTCTCATCTGCTGCATTTCTGTTAATGCCCTCCACTCTGGGGGCGCCTTTTCAAGCTGGCTCTTGAAATGTCCGGGAACCAAGTCTGGAACTGCTTTCATTTTCATCAGTGGTAAGTGTTGCCTGTCTCTAGAGGGAAGTAAGTCTTTGGCAATGACCTGTTCAAGTTGCTTCTGCTGATCTTCGTAGTCCTTCAGATCTATTTCACGAGCTAAAGCCCTACTGCAGGATCCTCTACAAGATCGGATCTTAATGTCAATGTCCACCTAGAAAGAGGAAAGAAAAATAAAGAGAAAGGGTAGATACAAATACATGAACTATGTCTATTGAGTTCCTGGTAGTTAATTTTCCTTCTGGAAACTGGTTTCATTTCTTTGACTTGGAGACCTACCGCTTAATATTCTCTGCTTTCTGGTATTCTACCATCCTCAGTGGAAGAGATGTTGGGTATTCCAAGGCTAGCTGGGATAAGCAATGGGTGCTATTTGATTCATCTTAGCCTCAGAATGGATCAAGAGTAAGGTACTATTCCCTCTCAAAGGAAACACTGATTAAATGATTCTTGGTGAAACTCAGGCTGAAGGCTCAGAGGAATGGTGATGTAATGGGCTTTGGAATTATACAAGGATTGTACATTTGGTTTTGAAATTTACTATCTATGTACTCTTGGAAAATGTACTTAATGTCTCTGAATTTTTTTCTTCAACTATAGAGTGGGGAAAATAATACCTACTTTTGGGTAGATAATGGATATAGCACTTTTGAGTAGTTATACTCAATGTATAACTGCCTTCCTTTTCCCTGCTATTCAAAAACAAGGAAATCTGGGGGCAGAGCCACCAACTTACCTCCAGTCGTTTCATATCAATCAGCTGAGCCCTAACATTGTTCTGCAGAAGCTGGATCTGCTGTACTTTTTCTATGACTTTGCGCTTCAGGACTTCAATTCTGCTTCTCAGATCTTCTGACACTCTGTTATAGGTATTATCACGGTCTGAAACAGAAAATACGGTTATTGAAGTAGCTGCTGAGTGATTTGCCTGTAATTGCCAGCAAGTAAGCAAGAGAGGGAGGGAAGCGGGGGTGGGGGGTGGGGAGAGAGAGAGAGAGACAAAGAGAGAGAAAGACGAAAGAAAGAGAAAGAGAGTGAAAGAGAGAAAGAAAAAGAAAGAGAAAAAGAAGTAAGAAAGAAAGAAAAAGAAAGAAAGGAAGAAAAGAGGGAAGGAGGGAAGGAGCAAAGGAGGGAGGGAGGGGGAGGAGAGAGGGAGAAGGAAGAAAGAAGGAAAAAAACTCGCTTGTAAATATTCCCAATTTTATTGTGGTTATAGTTTAATCTGTGAGTTCAAAACCTATGAGGCATTTGACTTTTGGATAATGTTATGCACTGTAGTCATCCACGAATTCCAGTTAAGATGTCCTAATAGCAACTCATAATCCCAAATAAATATAAAAGAAGAAATTTCTTTGGAATTTTAAAGGTGTAATTTGGAGTTAAAATAATTGGTTTGATTGCATTCCAATTACCTTATAATATCCTTAATCAAAGGACTTGAACATATTGGATTTTCTGACTAAAGTGGAAATTTTGCCCAGGATTTTGTCAGCACGTTGTCAGTAACCATCCCATCCCTATTTTTGAAACTGACCTTATTTTTTTTTTTTTTTTTTATTTATTTATTTATTTTTTTTTGAGACGGAGTTTCGCTCTTGTTACCCAGGCTGGAGTGCAATGGCGCGATCTCGGCTCACCGCAACCTCCGCCTCCCGGGTTCAGGCAATTCTCCTGCCTCAGCCTCCTGAGTCGCTGGGATTACAGGCACACGCCACCATGCCCAGCTAATTTTTTGTATTTTTAGTAGAGACGGGGTTTCACCATGTTGACCAGGATGGTCTCGATCTCTTGACCTCGTGATCCACCCGCCTCGGCCTCCCACAGTGCTGGGATTACAGGCTTGAGCCACCGCGACCGGCGAAACTGACCTTATTTTTGTTAGTAACTGCCTCTTTCTGCTTCTGTGCCTCAGCTTTTTGCTTACTAACTGGAAAATCTTAAGAGAAACTGCCTTGTTGCCTAAAACCTGCTGCATTGTCTAAAGTCCTAAGTTACTCCCCCTGCCCCTTTACCTATAAAAACTGTGTACTTTTCTGAGCTGGGGTCCAGACTTTTGGGTGTGAACCCTTCTTGGCCCGCCAGTGTAATAAAGTGTGTTCCTCTAACCCCTGAGTGCCACTTGGGTTCCTTGTCGGGTAAGATTTTCCAGAACATTACTGATGAGTTTTTCTTTTTATCTATAGATTTGAAATTGTTCCTAAGCTTTTTTGGGTCAACAGGATCACTCACTTGCCTGCTAGTGTTTCATCACTGATTTTAAATGTTAACTGTTTATGAGGGTGTGAAGAGGCAAAGCAAAACTTCAGAAACTGAGGTCTCTCCAGACTCACTGCCCATGCCCAGAAGGAATGCAACATTTCCTAACCCTAATGAGTAGACTATGAGAACGATATAGCTCGACTCTGTATTTTAAACTAAAAAATCTACCTAATCAGCTCAGCAGAGTCTGGGGTTGAACTCCCAGTTCTCTGTCTTTGAGCGAGTTCTTTGACCTCTCAGTATTCTCCTCTGCGAGGCAGAAACAAAAGTATCAACTCCAAGAGTCTGGCCCATTCTACTTTCAGTAGATACTGTTGAAAAGAACACACTTAAATTCTTGTTTTTAATCCAAAATTCTGACTTATTTTGTCACCTTAAACAATCTCAGTTAACGTCTTTTACTTTGAAAAAATAACGAAAACAAAAGCTCCCCCTTAAAATTTTCAGTGATATTATGAAGGCATGTGTTTCTGTACTAAGTAGTTTGAGATGAAATTGTCATAGTTATGAGCAGACATCATATTCATTTAGCATTTTTGTTGTTTCTGTTATAAAGTCAAAGCAATAAGTATGTAATACTTACTATTGGCTGCAGCAAAATCGCCTCTCAAAATTTCCATTATATTTCTGGTCAATGAATTAGAATCCTTATTGTTTTTCTGATAATCAAATAGTGAATTTCTAAGCTTATTTATTCTGTTTGTAAAATCTTGATTGACTTCATCAATTAACCCTTTCATCCTGCAGCCAGAAGGGCATCTGTAGTTCTGAAAGTGAAGGGGGAAAATTATAGTAAGGGTCTATCTCTTGGATCAGAATAATTTTGCATGTTTCCATGCAGCCCCCATTTATTCCTACCCTATCTCTTCCAGATCAGTTGGCTTAAAAGTAGGAAGGGGACTAGTTAGAGGTAGTAGAGAAATTGTGGCATGAGGGTCCACTTAGCCATAAATTAGGTGCCAGGAAATTGAGGCCACAATACTCAGGTGCCAAGTATTGCCTCAGCATGCAACTAAAATCCAATCTATTCCCCCACTAATGATCCAGAGTTGGAGAGGTAATTAAACAGTGATCTTGGAACTAGGTTTCTTCTCTTTCTTTGGTATGTAAGGAGTTATTCAATTATTTTCTATTAAAAAAAGTTTCTGGGACCAATTGGGTCAGCATGTGACCCCCCTCTAGCATCACAGGGAAGGAATCTCCTGCATCCCAGCTCACTGCTTACCCAGTCTTCATCAGAGCAGAAGGGCCAGTCTGAATCTCTGCAGACAGATTGTTGTTTTTCCACAACCCTTGGGCCACGCACTCCTCCTCCTGCAGCTAGAAAGTCATCTTCACCAGTATCTGTAGTCTTTAAAGATTCATTCACATACACAAAAGAGAGCAACAGCAATGTTAGCCAGAAGAGGAGACACCGGCATGCCTACAAGTCCCAAGGAAGAGATGGCAGCTCTCACAGAGATCAAGGCACCAGCCGCAGGGCATCTGCAACTTCAGGTTTCTTATCTTCAAATGGAAATCCAAAGACCCCTTGTATGGAGTTGTTACAAGAATTAAAGGAGGTGAGGTGTACAAATCCCTTAACTGTGTATGACACTAAATAAGCATTTGATAAATATTAGGAGTTTAAAAAGATCCATTCTAAAAGGAAAGTTATTTGAATCCATAAAATCAGTTAAATTTTAGCTTTTCAGTTTTACAAATGACTGCAGACAGAAAGAAAATTGAAAGCTGTAGAGCTCTTTCTCCTGTAATTCTTACTGCTTCAGTAGAAAGAACCCACGCCATCTTAACCTAATGTTCCTCTCTCTTTCAAATTTCTGTGTAGCCTTTAGAGATGAATTCATAATTCAAAAGACTACCATTGCTTCCAAAAAGCATATTGCCTTACTAATCTCTTCTGATACTGCAAAGATGTTTCCAAAGAGCATTCATTTGCTTTTTCTTTTGTCTTGACAAACACAAAAACAGCCTATCAGCAAAACTGTACTAAAACTAAAAGTTCTGCTTATTATAGCAAGAACTTAATAATTAGCAAATAGCAAGAAATTAATAATTAAAGAAAAAAATCTTACCATAGAATGTTTTATTGTATTAACTAGCGTTATAATGCTCCAAGGCTTTATAGCTACAAAGATGGCAAAGAATTCTTGCCCTTTTTAAAACAAAACAGAACAAAATGTGGTGAGACTGCACGACAAATGCTAAAGCTTCCCTTGTGAGTTTGTACACACTCATACGTCTAAGATCTTCCTCTTGGAGCCATATTTCCCTGTATTCTTGAGGTGCCAAGCCCATCCAGGATCTTGCCTCTCAGCCTGGAGTAAATAAAGCTAAGAGTGTGTCGGGACAGAACAGGTAGACTCAGACCTCCAAGCTCTTCATGGAATAAAATCAGAGAGAAAGAAAGAAGAGAAAATGAAAGGGACCATACCCATGCTGTGCCCACCACACTTAGGACCAGGCAGACGATCCTCATGGAAAACATATTTTCTAAGGGTGACGCTGGCTCATGAGGAGCACTCCAGCTGAAAATAAGGATTGCCTCCACTCCGGGTGTCCATCCTATTTAAACCTGCAGGAGATTTGGTTAATCATTGGCTTTGTCCTGTGTCAAAAATCAACTGTCCGTCTACATGCTTTGTTCCTCCTGTGCTGTTGGTGTCCCAGAAATTCTTGCTCAATTCCCCTTAGCTTGTTTGCTTCCGATAATCTGTTGCAAAGGCAGCATTTGATTCTCCAGCCAGCAATCAGGAGAAGATCTCACATTCCAGGAACAGGAAGGCTTTGAGGGCGAAAAGAGGAGCGTAGGAGGGTATATCCATATTTCTGTATTTGAAAGGATATAGAAGGTGCTTAGGTAAGCGAGCTGTAGCCCGCTATAGTAGTGATTTAGCAAACAATATTTCACTTTTGCAGAAATTAGGGTTGGGTGATCTGGCTAAAATATGACTTTGGTGATAAGCTGGCCCTGAAGGCCTTCTATAAGCATATGTAGGACAGGTTACCTTTCTCTTTCCAAAATATTAAGATGACAACAGCCCCAGGAGCCAAACATCTTAGGTTCATAATCCCAGCTGCACCACTTCCCAGCTCTATATTCTTGGACAAGTTATTTTACCTCTTTATACCTCAGTTTCCTCATTTATAAAATAAGGATGCTGATACTACTTCATGTTTTTGTGAAGAATAAATGAGTTAATTCTTGTAAATCCCTCAGAACAGTGACTGTCAGTGACTGTCACATAGGAAGTTAATTATGGGAGAGCATAAAGTGCCATGAAAAATACTATTTCTTTCCTATTCCTGTGCCAGCAATCTCACTCCTGAGTATATTTCCAAAGGAAATCATACAGGACCTTGAAGAGATACCTGTACTCCCATGTACATCACAGCATTATTGACAATAGCTGAGATATGAAAACCACCTAAGTGTCCATTGATAGATTAGTAGATAAAATGTGATGTACATATACACAATGGAGTATTACTCAGCCTTGAAAAAGAAGGAAATTCTGTCATTTGCAGTAACATAGATGAACCTAGAGGACATTATCCTAAGTGAAATGAGCAGATACAGAAAGACAAATACTGCTTAGCCAGGCATGGTGGCAGGCACCTGTAATCTGAGCTACTTGGGGGCCTGAAGCCAGGAGAATCACTTGAACACGGGAAGCAGAGGTTGCAGTGAGCTTAGATTGCACCATTGCACTCCAGCCTGGGTCACAGAGTGAGACTCCAGAAAGAAAGAAAGAAAGAGAGAGAGAGAGAAAGAAAGAAGAAGAAAGAAAGAAAAAAAGAAAGAAAAGAAAGAAAGAGAAAGAAAGAAAGAAAAGAAAGAAAGAAAAAGAAAGAAAGAAAGAGAGAGAGAGAGAGAAAGGAAGGAAGGAAGGAGAAAGAAAATTGAAGGAAGAAAGGGAAAGAAAGAATAATACTGCATGATTTTTCTTGCATGTGAAACCTAAAATAGTCAAACTCACAGAAGAGAGTAGAATGGTGGTTGCTGGGGCTGAGGCATAGGATAAATGGGGACATGTCGTTCAAAGGGCACAAAGTTTCTGTTATGTGATATAAATAAGCTCTGGAGTTCTTATGTGCAGCATGGTGACTACAGTTAATAATACTATGCTGTATATATGAAATTTGCTAAAAAGGTAGATCTTAAGTCTTCTCAGCACACAAAAAAAGTAACTATATGAGGTGTTTTATGTGCTAATTAGATTAATTGTGGTAATCATTTCACAATATATATGTGTATCAAAACACCAATCAGAGAGAAGTTCCCCTTTAAAGGAAAAAAAAAAAAAGAACAAACATCAAGCTGTGTAACCTAAATTATACAATTTTTACTTTTCGATTATACTTCAATAAAAGTAAGGCCGGGCGCGGTGACTCAAGCCTGTAATCCCAGCACTTTGGGAGGCCGAGGCGGGTGGATCACGAAGTCAAGAGATCGAGACCATCCTGGTCAACATGGTGAAACCCCGTCTCTACTAAAAATACAAAAATTAGCTGGGCATGGTGGCGCGTGCCTGTAATCCCAGCTACTCAGGAGGCTGAGGCAGGAGAATTGCCTGAACCCAGGAAGCGGAGGTTGCGGTGAGCCGAGATGGCGCCATTGCACTCCAGCCTGGGTAACATGAGTGAAACTCCGTCTCACAAAAAAAAAAAAAAAAAGTAAAAAAAAAAAAAATCTTCAGCTTAGATTTGCCAGATGTATTAGGTTGGTGCAAATAGCAAGTAAAAATAAGAATGTCCCAGTTAAACTTGAATTTCAGAAAAACAACAAATCTATTTTAATATAAGTATGTCTTGTGATACTGGAAACACTTAAATTTTTTTGTTGTTTATCTGAAATTCAAACTTTACTGGACATTCTGTACTTTATCTGGAAATCCTACCTTGCCTGAAATTCTTATGTGAAGACAATCCTAATAAGAGTAATAGCTAATATGTATTGAATGTTAAGTCCTGGGTTCTTTGCTAGACATTTTGCAGGGTGCCCAATTCAATGTCCAATTAAAAGCAACCTCTTGTTCTTTCATACTTCCTTAGACCGTGCACCACTAATGGCATTTATCATTGTAGGAGTACTGTCTCCACTAGATCACAAATTTGAGAATTGAAATGTTTTATTGGTCTTTATATTCCCCCGAAAAGGTGTGCACCTTCATTGAGCAAGAGGGCATGAGTGGGTTCCATTGATGCGAAGTTGCCTTGCTGCCTCCCCCAGCAATGCAGACATACGAAGCTTTCTATAAATGGATGGAAGCCCTGGTGCAAGGCAGTGCACCGTCTGCTCTATGGAAGGCTGCTTTTCTGATCAAGTTCACCCCTAAGGCAGCTTGCTGGGATTTCTAGAGTTAATTGCAGAGCAAAGAGGAAGACCCAGAGCCCTGTCCAGGCTCCAGAGGGCAATGATTCCATGAAAAGCTGGGTTATACTTACTCACGATGACTGCACTGGCAAAATGTCAGGCTTAGATTGGAAGGCGAGGCTTGATCTCTGCACACATTTTCCTATACCCACAAGAAGTGCTCATTTTGGGAAGTGAGCATGGTATATAGCAAAGAAGTTCCAGGCCAGGTGCGGTGGCTCACGCCTGTAGTCCTAGCACTTCAGGAGGCCAAGGCAGACAGATCACCTGAGGTTGGGAGTTTGAGAACAGCCTGACCAACATGGAGAAACCTCGTCCCTACTAAAAAAATTCAAAATTAGCCAGGAGTGATGGTGCATGCCTGTATTCCCGGCTACTCTGGAGGCTGAGGCAGGAGAATCGCTTGAACCCAGGAGGCAGAGGTTGCAGTGAGCCAAGATCGCTCCATTGCACCCCAGCCTGGGCAACAAGAGTGAAATTCTGTCTCAAAAAAAAAAAAAATTCCCTGAGAGTAACCTGATAGGCCTCAGGTAAATCGGTTGAACATAATCTGATTGAAGGTAAATTAACAGAAAACAATTTGATTGAATGCCACCACGATAGTTCCATGTCAGGGTACTTCTAAGGATGCCACCTGAGGGCTTTATTCTTGCCTCTCAAAATCAGCACATCTCAGGCCCTTACTCAGCAGGCCTCAGCTCACAGAGCACTTACTTAGAGAGTCAGAGAGGCCTCTAGCCGCCCAATCTAAAGAGCTGCCATTCTCACAGGTCATTCCATTGACTCTGCTTGGTTTTTCTGCATGGTACCTTGTCACTCCTGGACAATATACATTTGGAAAGGTATTTGTTTATTCTATGTCTTGTCTACATTAAGCTTCCTGAAGCCAAGGCACAAGGCCTAGCACAAATGCCAGCCATAGAGCAAGTCCTGCTCAGTGTCACCTAGAGGAATGGAAGGCTGGTGGTATCACTGCATGGCGGGCTTTCCAGCATGTGAGGCCTGGATTCCAGCTAAGTGACATGGGAAAACTCTTTAAATTCTCTGAGGTATAAATGGGATGGTGATATTTATCTTGCAGGATTGCTGTGAGGATTATGTAAAATGTTGGCCATACACAGCAGGAGCTCTAGAAACAGTAGGTTTTATTGTTCCTAGACTGTCCCATGCTTCATAATAGAATGTCCCCTCGTTTTGACTGCAGTACGAGGAGTCCCAAATGAGGCACTTTTGTAGGTCACTCTTTGGCCCCACACTGCAGGCTGCACACCAGGCTGGTCTCTCCGCCCCATGAACAGGCTATACTGTAAGCTTTGGAGGAGTAGGTTTTGGTTAGATGGAAAACCATGCAAATTAATAGGCAACAAATAATATAAGAAGTGTCATTTTTTAAAAAGCATGTGACAATAAGGGTATCTTTAAAAGTGCAAAATTGGAAAAAAGATTGAAGAAATTTTCAGTTGCTTAAATTATAATCTGCTGTGCATTGCATTTTTTTTTTTTTTTTTTGAGATGGAGTCTCTCTCTGCCACCCAGGCTAGAGTGCAATGGCGTGATCTCGGCTCACTGCAACCTCCGCCTCCCAGGTTCAAGCAATTCTGCTGCCTCAGCCTCCCAAGTAGCTGGGATTACAGGAGCCCACCACCATGACCAGCTATTTTTCTGTATTTTTGGTAGAGATGGGGTTTCACCATGTTGGCCAGGCTTGAACTCCTGACCTCAGGTGATCCATTTGCCTCGGCCTCCCGAAGTGCTGGGATTACAGGCCATTATGCCAGGTTTGCCTTTTTCCTAGAGATAACTACATCCTATTTTCCTTAGCTCTAATGAGAAGGATGTTTAATAGATCTATCCTTTGGAAATTAATGTAATATAAACATTTAAATATAATTGTTAATATAAACATTTAAATGCAGGAATTTACACATTTGTTATGCCATAACTTTTGGCACGACTAGAATAGTTTTTACTAGTTTTACTAGTTTTATTTGGATGGTGTATAATGCTTACAGAAAGAGTAGAAATTCTATAGCTGTATATTTCAGTTTTTTGGTTTTTTTATTTCTTTTTTCTTGAAAGAAAAGAAAGAATGAAGGAAGGAAAAGGAAAAGAAAGAAAGAAAGAAGAAGGAAGGAAGGAAGGAAGGAAGGAAGGAAGGAAAGAAAGAAAAGAAAGA